CACATTTGATAGAGATGTGGGGAGAGAGAACTTTCTCCTGACTGTTAGAAAAACAGCAGTGTGGGCATGGTGCAGATGGCAGCTGCCCCTTGGCCTAAGCTTTGGGGAGCAGTGGAGAGTGGTGAGGGCCATGATGGCGTGGGAAGGCCATGTCCCACCTAACAGGGCAGCTTTGACGCCCTTTAAGCATTTAACTGATGGCTGCCTCACAGGAAGGTAAGCCCTCATTCCTCTGAAATTTCAAGAAAAGTCAGAATCTGGATTTTTATTTCTTTTCATGGCAAATCACCTGATTTTTAAAATGTTGCTTTGAAAACGTGTGCTGGTCAAGCAAAATGCCACCGTGGGCTCATTCTGGACTGTGGATGCTGTTGTGGATGCTGTCTGTGGCTTCTGCTTTAAACAAAGTATTTCCATGTATTGAAGGTTTCTTAATTCTACTTCTAAGAGACGCATGGGGTCAGCATCACTGACAGGTTAGCACCAGAGCCATTTCCTAAGAATTTAAGAATTAAGTCAGATCAGTGGTCTAATGAGCTCAATACCTGGCTTCTCAGAGTGGCACCAAGGGACCATTTGGGAAAGATTTAGAGCCCAACCTCTTAGTTAGGGGAGTCCCACAAGCATTTCTGATTTGCTTCTTTTTGATTTGTAAAATATTTCAAATGCAGGGAAAAGCAGAATAAATAACGTGTCTCCTAGCTTTATCAAAGCTTAACATTTGATCACAGCTGCTTCAGACAGTTTTAAAGTTTTAAAATGAAATGTGGATACCACTGATGTTCTTGGTTCCCCCTCCTTCCCCAGAGGTAACCATCAGCCCAAACTTCATGTTCATCATGTCCATCTGTGTTTTCCTAAACTCTTAAAAATCAGTGTAAATCTCCCACCCATTAATGTAGTCTAAGAACCTGACCTATTTACAAGTAGAGGCACAATCTGAACTACTTCGTAAGTTGTGAAAAAAACAAATCCAGAAGTCCGGGGACCATTGGTTAAATCACTTAATCTTTGCACGGATTAAGTTTTCTCCTGGGATAATGATCTTTGTCCCACCCACCCAAGATGGGTGGGGTGACAGTAAAATGCAATCATAATAAATGGTCTTTAGAAAAAGACAAAGCGTTATCCACACATAAGGTTCTAGCGCTTTTATTAATAAATTCCTTATGTGTCTTACTCCCTTCATGAAGTAAAAAGTTTATTTTATTTGTCCTCCAAGTTGAGGGAGGGGCCCCCCCCTACAGAATAAGAGCATTCCTTCCCAGCTTGATTTTATAAACTTGGACTGCAATCCTTCTCAGCCTTTGTCTTTCCAGAGAAAGAGAGAGAATTGTTTTATTCTTACCCAAAAGGAAATGTATTCTACTACGATTTTTGTAATGGTTTTCCTAAGCCTTTCCTAGGTCTGTTATATCCTTCTGGAGGCACAGAAGCCAAAAATGCCTGCAGTATTACAGGTGCAGAAGCTTTGCTTAGGCAAAGATTTATTCAATATTTGGCAAACACAATTACATGTAAGTAAAAAAACCAAAAACCAAAAAACCCAAACCCAAACCATATCGAAACCACAGTGAGATACCATCTCACACCCATGAGGCTGGCTGTTATCAGAAAACCAGAAAATAACAAATGTTGGCAAGAATGTGGAGAAATTGAGGTTGCAACCAGCCCGAACTCTTATGCACTGCTGGTAGGAATGCAGTTGCTATGGAAAACAGTATCGCAGTTCCTCAGAAAATTAAAAATAGAATTGTCTGATGTTCTAGCAACTCCATGTTTGGGTAAAAACCCCCAAATAATTGCAAGCAGAGCCTCAAAGAGATACTTATGTTAATGCTACTATATTCGAAGTAGCCATACCCACAATAATTGAAAAGCGAAGCCACATTAATGCCTATCAACAGATGTATGGATAATATAATATGGATATACACACAATGGAATATTATTCAGCCTTCAAAAGGAAGGACATCCTGAGACATGCTGTTACACAGATGAACAGTGAGGGAGGACATTACCTGAACTGAAACAAGCCAGTCACAAAAAGACAAAAATTGAATGATTCCACTTATATGAAGTACCCAGAGCAGTCAAATTCATAGAGACAGAAAGTAGAATGGTGGTTGCCAAGGGCTGGGGAGAGGGGGCATTAATGTTGAATAGCTACTGAGTTTTAATTAAGATAAGAGTTTTGGAGATTGGTTGCACAATAATGTGAATGTACTTAACACTATTGAACTGTACACTCAAAAATGGTTAAGATGATTAAAAAAACCCAACCCCAAACCAAAAGCCAATTAAAGTCTAGAACAGTAAATTTCAGGAAGAATTATGAGAACATTACAATCAACCAGGCAAAAGTCTCCATTCAAACAGTACCCACTACCAAGAACGTAAGTTTTCTGCCAAGAAAAGAGGTCTTCCCTAAACTCTTAACCCATGGCTCACTGTGGTTCACCATCCACTTATTCTGCCCATGGGATAATCAGACTCATCTCATGCTTCTGTTTTCTCAGAGCCTAGGAATTACAGGTTGCATTTAGGAAGGTCTCAACAAGTATTTGTTGAAAGAGGACTGATAAATGGGGTCACGGCTAACTGTGTAGCTGTGGAAATCCAGGTTCCGGGTTCACCATTTCCTAGCTCATCCCAGCCTGCTCGACTTCTCTACGTCTCATCTGCCATAAGCATAAGCTGGAGAGAGTAGTAACAACTACTTCATGGAGCTAGATTGTGAAGATTGTGAAGATTAGGTGAGAGAATGTTTAGCATGGTATCTGGCTGGAAAATCAAGGAAGTCAAAGCAAATATTCAGGAAAGAGCTGAGCTGATGGAACCTGGTCTGTGACTCTTCACCATCATATCCATGTGCTTCCAGCAGAAGTCAGTATTTGATAATTGCTTGGTAAATATTTATTGAATGAATGAATGAACTGCAGGATAATGGTGAAATTTTGAATTCTATTAAAAATACATTTATCAAACAATTCCTTAATTTATTTTAAAGACAAGGGCTATATGTTGAAGAGGCAGATCATGATGGAGACTTGTATTTATTTCTGGGAATTGTGTTGGCTTTTTCAGGCCCTTATGGGGTCCCTGTCAACTTTACTCAGTTTGCTTAGCACCTGCTATATTCCCAGACAGTCCGAGTCAGGACTGCAACATAAATAAAACACTCCCCGCCCTCTAGTGGCTCTCGGTCAAGTGGAACAGACAGGTGGATTAAGGGTCATACTGCGGGAAGGTCCAAGGTGGTGCAAAGGAAAGTTCCATCCGTCTGCTGGAGGGCAGGACAGTTTCGGTGAAGGAAGACCCCCAAGGGCAAGGCATCTGAACTGGGTCATGAAGAATAGGTGGGGCTTTTCCAGGTGGAGAAAGAGGGGAAAGGCAGAGTGGATGAGATGTACAAAGGCATAAAATACAGGAATGGGAGATGAAACCATCAGACATCTTCAGGGAGGTGGGAGGCGTCTCCACAAAGCACAGAGCAGAAAAGGGGGAAAGGAAAATAAACTTACAGAGATGCAGGAGAAGGGGTGATGGTCCAGGGCTCATCTGCCTGCAGAGGAGAGGGCTTAATCCTCTTGGCAAAGGAAAGCCATGGCAGGTTTTAAGCAAAAGAGACTTAATCAGATACTTGCATAAAGCAAACAGGCGGGGGGACCAGAGGGGACAGGTGGGTCAGGTGACCAACCAGTTAGGGAAAAACTGGGAGAGAAGAGAACCGCTTCGTTGAAAGGAACGAATCTGAGACATGTTAAGAAAGGCGACTTCAAAGATGTTCGCTTCATTTTACTTGCTCTGTAAGTGAATGAAAACTTCAGCCACCAGCCACATACAAAGTCATACCTATAAGACTTTTCATTTTTGGCATGTTGCCTGAAAATCCATAGTCTTGTTTCAAAAGTAAATGAGAGAGAGAGAGCAGACTCTGCAAATCGCCTTCAGCAATCATGACCTCTGCTGGCTTTTAGTGCCTTTGATTCCAGCTGAACCTGAAGAGCTTACTTTGTCGGGATTCTGTGGTGTGGTTTCCAACTGGAACTCAAAGTCCCCTTCCCTGAGGATCTAGTTCCAGCCTGGAGGGTTTTAGCCTCAAAAACCCTGGCCAGAGGAGCTCTGTAAGGAAGCCCAAGCGTGCTCTGCTGGCACAAAGTATCTAAAAGATACTAGAGATGGTCAAGTTGAGTGTGATGGGTAAGCCTAGCTGGGTGGTTCCTGAGAGGGAGGAATTTGGGTCCAGGAATGGAAATAAGTGGTGGCCACAATCTGTAAAGGCAAGCTTTTTATCTGTTCTGGGGGACCCTAGAAGAACCTGACCCTACGCTTACAGGCAAAGCCATAGAGAAGGTGCGAAGGTGAGAAACCCATCAGGTGAGGCCGAAGCTAAGCTGGAAACACCGAACTTTGGCAGGCTTTCTAAGTGCTCTAGAATTAACCCAGGGGAGCAAATTCTTCAGAAAAGCATCATATCGAAGGTGGTGGTGGTGAATTACTCCCTGAAGATACCCAGAATGTTGTTAACTTTCAACGCCCTGACAATTCCAAGCTGTGAATAAACCATTCACCTTAATAACAATGACAATTGAAAAGTTTCTTTTGTATCCACCTATGTTCATATGCATTGCATAGTTACAGTCACAGTCCTGTACTCTTTCAAACAACTTTGCCCACCTATTCAAAAAATTTCTTGACGTTTCCAAGGTGCACGATCCAAATCCTTGACCTCCAGTCTCATGCTTACTCCCGCCCTCCGTCCTAGTCTCCTGCCCCCCACCCTCGACTGCTACAAAAACTTAAGACCAGAAAAGTAATGTTGAAACACAAACCAAATGCCTTATAACCAATACAAGTACCTTTTATAACCTCGGCTGTTGGTTAAAGTTCTACAATTAAGTGCCAAACCCCTAAATGTTCGCTGACACTGACAAGGCAGAAGGTCAGCAAATCCTTTGAGCAAAAGAGACTAACAAGCGAAAAATCCAGCATCTCACCCAGCTCCACGTCTTGATCATCGGTGAGCACAAGGATGATGTTGGGTCGGATGTTTTTGCGCTCCTGCTGTATCCGTCCTCTGAACCTCGGGGACCTGACAGTTGAACAGAGGCTCCCCACCAGTTCCGTGCCCAGGACAGCCAAAACCAGAGCACAGCAAGAATACTTCATTGTGTTTGGTCCAATGTCGCAAAACTGACAAAATGTCTGTCTCTTGGTTCCTGCAGGTCTGGGCAGTCAGAGAAAAAGGGAGAGGGAGAGACGAAAATGAAATCCAAACCCCAAACACAGTTGCAGAGAAAGGGCTACAAGCGCTCAGTGAGAACTGGCACATAAACTGGCAGAGGAAGGGCTGCCCGTGAGTCAGAAGCAGCAGCAAACCCTTCCAGGCGGTGGGTCTTTTTTTGTGTTATTTTTTTTTAAGCGCTTGATTATTTTGCAAATTCACTTTTGTCCTTTATTCCCATTCCAACTTTTCCGATTTCAAAATTCGTTGCCAAAATAGAATTTCCAACACAGAGCTCAGATGGAAAAGCTTTCTCATGAGAGCCCGTACCTTGAACTGGGTATCCTGGTTGAATAATCAGTTTCTATACCCAGAGGTATTCAGAACATCTGCAGATGGGGTCCTGGAAGGGGGAGGAAAAAAAAACACAAAGGAAATGTCAGTCAAGGATTTTGATACAGAGTTTTGGTCTGAAATAACTCTCTTGAAACAGCATAACTATATATGTATAATTATGCATATAAATATATATAATTTAAAATCTGTACTTCAAAAGGCAGAAGCAACTGCTAACAGATGACTCCAGTAATATCTTCACTTCATAATTATAAAGACGGTGATATGAGTATCATCTCTGCTCACACTTTAACGGTACTTTAAACATTCCCCCAAAACGAATGACTGACAGTGCCTGTGACACCACAGTGCGCCGGAGTGGCTGCACGGGGAGCAGCTGGCACGGGGGGCGTGCTGGGGGAGCATTGACTCACCTGTGTAGGCTACTGAGTACTTATCAAGCAGAATGAAACGCAAAGCTGTCATTTGTCATCTGCATGATGTCACTCACTACCCAGGAGAGTTCTTTCTGCTGACAAAGACTTCATAGTCAGTGACTGGGAGGGCAACCTTTCCCAGCCTCTAAAAAGCTCCTAACTGTCCTCCATCAATCACCAGGAGAAGGGACGCTTCCTCCGGGCTAGGCTGGTCCCTCGGTCCAGCCCACATCCTCAGCGCGTCGGCGCCTAAGGGGACAGAGCCCTCCTCCGACTGTCAGCACCAGCCCTACTACTGTCCAGACCTGGTGCAGCGCCGCCAGCACCGAGGTTTGACTTTGCTGCAGCAGATCTCAACCTGCAAAGCGAAATGATTGATTGGCTCTGAGGCTGAAGATTAGAGGCGACCCTTTCACATTAAAAAAAAAAAAATCAAATCTAGAGGGGAGTGCTACAAAATCTTTGCAAATCTGCACGGGAGGAGACTTTTGAAAGGGTTGGGAAGTTGCCCCTTCCACTTTAGAATGCTAACCTGCTGAAAGCTTTTCTCTTGTATGTCTGAAAGATAGCAAGGGGCTCATTAAAAAAAAAAAAATCCATCTCTTGGATGTCATGAGGGAGCATCTGTATGGGAATTTCGGCTGCCCTAAAGTTAATTAGACAGCAGCCCGCTCCAGCAGCCACTCTGCCCCCACATACCTGAGGGTCTGTCTTTTGATCCTCAACAATAAACCGGCATCAGATAAATAAGCACAATGAATTAAGGGTGAGGACTGCAAAGCAGAAGGAACGGGACTCCATCGCTCACTTCCACGCCTTAAATGCTGGAGGGTGACATGAGGCAGTGAACGAAGAAAGAAGAAAGACGGTGTACTGTCTCCCCCCTCCCCTCTGCCATACACATTGTTTTACACAAACACACACACCCCTATTATTTTAAACTTTATGAGCTGTTTTGTAAACAGTTCTAATGCTTTTCACTCCGCAGCCTGTAATTATTCTTCCAGAGGGAGGGGCGGGATGGAGAGAGAGAGACTCAACAAGAACTAGGTTTTAAAACAAAAATCCAGTGTCTGCAGCCAGGCAGCCCTGACCACGTTATCCGCAGAGCTGCAAGCAAGCCCCCTCCGATGGATCCTGTGGTTCTGAGAAAGTCAACAGCACAGGGTTTGGTGTGTGTCTGTGTGTGTTTGTAATAACTCGGGGTTGTTGCAGTGATTGCTCTGCACGCTGGACCTGCAATTGTTCTGCCCTGACTGTTTGGTTTCTGGGCATTTGTTTTAAATCGTGAGAAAACTGATACAAGCACGAAAGGACAGGAAAGCGAAAGAAAGAAGTGAAACAATGGCTTTCTCCCACAGAGCGAGCATTGGGCGAAAAAGAGTTACACACAGAAGTTCCTAAGAGGGTTGATTCTTTAAGGAGCAACATTTTGCCCACCTCTCAAAGCCGGCAAGGGTGTGGGGAGAGAGAGTGAGCCGGGATGCTTGCATCTGCTGTGGTATAAAGCAATCTCCGCTGGCAAGGGTGACCCAGAAAATACGGTCAGGCTCACTGCGTGGAGGACACGGCGTCACAAGTGAAACAGCATTCTGGACAATTAAGATGCTGGTAACATTCCCTGGACCCCACTCAGCGCTCCTGGTTATTATTTTTTTTTTTCAAATCTTATTTACTTCACTTCTTCCTTTGGGAAAAAGAAAATTAGCCTGAATGGCACCTTGTATAAAGCACATTAAAAATCATTTCCTAAGAAAGAAAATGGACAGCGGACAGGATGCCTGCTTTACCTATAAAGTGGCTTCCCTTTCTGGAGACTTAAAGGTGCAAAATAGGCCTTATTTTTTTTTTCCTGCCACAAAGTATTATCAATTCAGGGGATTCATATGTCAAAAGCTGAGAAATTGTGTGGTAAAGAAAATTAAACTTTCAGACAGCCCTGGCCAGCAGGGGCACTCCCTTTTATCCTATCTTCCTTCACTAAAACACACAGAACACACCAGGCTGAAGAAAACAGCACACAGACAATTCTGTATATAAAAATGACCTTTCAGAACCTGTCACCCTCTCACTGCCTGGTTTCCAGCTCCAGAAGGAAAAGAAGTGGAGAAGAAAAGAAAAAAAAAACCTGACAAACAAAATGCAGACCTTGACAAAGGAGACAAGGATGCAATGTTTGAATAGGATACTTTGTGGCAGATGACAGGCATCCTTAGAGACGAACGATTTGTCCTGAGGAATAGCTAAAAATGGGAGAAATGTCAGAAGAGGTTTTTCTCACACATGGAAAGTGAGCTTGAGGGATGGGTCTGAATTCATGAATCAGGACCAGAACACAAGCTGCCTTTTCTTCAAGCCCTAAAATGAAAACACCAATTGTAGCTATGGCCAGTTGGTGTGGAAAGTTTACAGCATTTGGTTTGGGCAGTCAAGCCAACTATCAATGTGACATTAAAAGTTTCAAGTCACATATAAAAGAAAGAAAAGACTGGGGACCTCAAGCCAACTGGACAGAACGTCCAGTTCACATACATTCGTCTAGAAAACCCTGTGCTAAATCAAAGCCCTCATTGCCCCGGTAGCTTTAAGAGGTCCCCATGTCTGGGCAGCCGGTGCTGAGGTAAAGGGGATGGTGACTATGTGCTTATCGACCGCAGTGGTTGTCGGGGTGTAATCTGGGGGGCACCTTTTGGGGAGGTGGAGTCCATAAGACCAGGATGATTTTGATAAGAATACTGACACTGCGTTTCCTTTTTTCACTTTGTTGACATTTGCACTGATGGTCTAAGAGCAACGGTGGGTAAGACTGCTTTTGTATGAATGTCCAGAGCCTCACTTGTAGTTTTTTAAAAAAAAAAAACAGTTTCACTGAAGATGAAGCAATAAAATGATTCAATTTATTAAACCTTAACCCTTGAATATACATCTCTTCTCTTAAATTTTCTGTTTTTGCTGCCTACGGAAGTGTGATACCTGTTGAGGAAAAGTACTTGTGTGATTGAGTTGCAAGATGAACGAAACACATTTTTTTTTCCTATTTTTACTTGAAAGCATTCTTTGGACTTGGATTTTTGGCAGACATTTTCTCAAGTTATGAATGGAACGAGACTGTCATTTCAAGGAAAACAGCTGATGATATTTGTTGTATTTGTTGGCAATGATAGAAATCTAGCTTTCAAGTCAAAAGCAGAATTTTTAGAAAACTGGTGTCTGCCACTGTGAGCTTGGCAGCCTCCTAATATGTAAAACCTTTCTTTCTGATGACGTTGATGCTGATATTAACAAATGCTATTTTTTGATATTTTAAAATGAGATTTGCTAACATTTAGACTCTGGATAATTCAATGAACCAATATTTCCCAAAAGACCAAATATAATGCTACAAAATCATACATGAATAAGAAAAATTCAAAGTAAAAGACGACCATTGGTTTTTAGTTATAATAGAATACGAACAGCTTACTGATAGGTTTCAAGATTTCTTATTACAGGTCGCCTTTAAGAATCACCGCTTGTCTGGAACATTCAGCCATAAAATAGAATGAAATAATGCCATCTGCAGCAACATGGATGGACCCAGAGATGATCCTACTAAGTGAAGTAAGTCAGAGAAAGACAAATATCACTTGTATCACTTATTCGTGGAATCTAAAAAAATGATACAAATAAACTTATTTACAAAACAGAAACAGACTCACAGACATAGAAAACAAACTTATGATTACCAAAGGAAAAAGGGGAGAGGGAGGGATAAATTAGGAGTTTAGAACTAACAGATACACACTACTACATATAAAGTAGATAAACAACAAGGTCCTACTGTAGAGTACAGGGAACTATATTCAATAGCTTGTAACAGCCTATAATGAAAAAGAATATGAAAAAGAACATAGATACATGTCCAACTGAATCACTTTGCTGAACACTGAAACGCTGTAAATCAACTCTACTTCAATAAAAAAAACAGATCACCACTTGTCAAGTTTTGGGATAGTCTCAAAGAAGATTTACAAGTATCTGAAAAAGCTTTTGAAATTCTTCTCCTGTTCTAACTATTTATCCACGTGAGGCTGAATTTTAATCCTACACTTCAAACAAAACAGTATCTTTCGACAGATTAAATGCAAAAGCAGATGTAAGAACCCAGTATTCTTTTATTCAGATAAATATTAGCTTTGCAAGAATGTAGAACAATGCCACTTTAGTCACCAATATTTTTTTGATTTGTTAAATACAGTTATTTTCCATAAAATGTATTATTTAACATGTGATAGATTTATTGTTTTTTAATTAATAAATATTTTCAAAGTTCTCAGTTTGAATTTCTAAGTATCAATAGCTATAAATCCCCATAAACACAAGCTTAATAATTTAAAAGGGTTAAAAACACAACTTTAATAATATAAGGGGATCTTGAGCCCAAAGGGTTGGGGAACTGTTGCCCTCTAGTATACCTGGTTCCATAGTTAAGCCTGCCTTTCATCTCTAAGGCTACAGGCCCTCGTTACAAACTTAATTCACTTTTTTTCCGCTTAAAAGTCTTGAAACTGTCCTAAGTTCTAAATGCCTGGGATCACATAGGAGTTGCTGAGTGATGATGTTCTGTGGGTTTTTTTTTTTAATCTGAAGA